TGTATCTCTTTGCGCATGTGAACGTGCTTGCATGTGTCTTTCTGTGTTTGTGCGTATGTCCTTGGTTGGTACGAACATCAAAATTAAAGTTGATTGGTAAATACTGAAGTACTAAGATGTTAGGTGTAAAATATTTATTGAAAATTATAGTTCTCTTTTATGCGAATAAAATTTAAATCAGGAACCGGTAAATTCTTTTGTTACTAGAATCAGAATGTCATGCTACATTCTTTATTACTTTGGATTGAAGAAAAGAATTGAAATTGCATGTTCGTGGGGAAGTAAGTTGCATTCTTATATAGCTTTTGTGATTAGTATGATACCGGCATCTTGGAAGCATCTATGATCTAACTCTGTAAGCGGCCTTTAGTTTGTCTTAAGTTGTTCTAAACTGCTTTTAGCATATTTTTATATCATATGGTCCAATGAATGATGTCTCACCAACTAATCTTCCTTCTACCGAGTTGCGTACACAGGATTCTTCACGAGAGGTGTCACTATTTAATAGTGAACAATTGAATAAATTACTGTAATATATATATATATATATATATTTGTGTGCTTTAATGCTAAATTGTATTATATGTGTGTTTAATTGAGTTTATTTTATGTGTAGGTATGTTAAAGATGAAATTAGGAACAACAAAAAAATTTATGTATATATTATACACTACAAAAATGAATTTATGATTATTTTATTATGAAATATATAATGATTAAAGTTTAACCTCACAAAAGAAGACAAGAAGAAACAAAAGCAAAGAATCGAAAAGTTAAGGGAAAGAATGATAAATGAAGCAGAAGTTAGGCAGCAAGTAACGTGAAGCGGAAAGGCAGCAGGCGAAGCGAGATTTTCTTCTCGCGTTTAAGCTCACGACGCGCAGCGTGACGCGAGGTGCGTCGCGCGGTCCGCGTGGCTACGTACGGATCCAGTTTCGAGTTTATTTTGTCATTCTTTTTTATTTTGAACTTGATTATTTTGTCTATGTTTTTTCCATACACATATAAATAGTCATTAAACATCATTTTTAGGGGGAAGGAGACCGAATTTGGATAGACTTTAGACGAAGGGAGAGCACGGAGCCGTTGTGGAGGCTGAAATTTATCAGATTCCATCTTTCTTCCATCAAACTTAGTAATCTTTACTTTTTCTTGATGATTTGTTGTTTTGCTACCATGTCTATGTGGAGCTAAACTTCACGTTCTAGGGTTGTGGTTGTCATAAATATTGAAGTTTATTAATTATATTACCGTTAATTCCAGTTATCATCTTTGGTTGTTTCTCTAATTCTGTGCATAATTGCTTAATTGTTTGGCTAGCAGTTGAGTTCTATTTACTATCTATGCTATGCTTGAAAAAGTCGTGCTTAGATTAGAGTAGAATTGGAGAGAGCTTGTTTCTGAACCCGTGGCTTGGGGAAAGATTTTGCGGTTAGGAGAGGAATATACCTAACAATTTTGCTTAGTTGAATAACGTATTATATTCATTCATGATAGATTCAAGACCATACGAATATAGGGTTGATATATTATGGATAGACGGATAGTATTGTGGGAACATGTTATTTATATAAACGATCCGGTCAACTAGCAATCATAGATAATTTGGATTAACGAGTGTAATTACGAACTCAATAGGATTGATAAACCGACCACAACCCTGGAATCTATATCTCCCTTGGTTACGTGTTTAATTTTCGCAATAGTAGATTAATAGAAAAACATCACTCTTAAATATCTTGGACAATTAATTGATTTTAGTTTGCTTAGTTGACAATTGATCTAAGTCTCTATGGATTCGACATCCGACTTTCGAGTCACTTTATTACTTGACGGCCACGTATACTTGCGTGTACTTGGGGAACCAACAATCAACCTCTAAAGAGTCTAAATTGACTCTTTCACGTTGTTGATGTTATTCCAACTCATTAGCCATTTCTTTCAAGTTAGATAAATCTTGAGATGTTGAACTTGATTTTTGAATTTTAAAAATTGTAGGATAGTATCTCGTTGTAATTTAACTTAATCAAAAATTCAAGTATCTACTTTATTCTTAAATAAATCCTAAATATGTTTATTATAACTAGAAAATAGACTGAAATAAACTAGGAGCAATTCCATACTACACACTCATATACTCTAATTTCGACATTTACAATCATATGAATCAATCAAACTATGTTAACATGACCATCACGACAATAACTTATATTTAACAATTTCATTAACTTCCAAAATCATTAAATACACCAAAAACAGTCAAATATAAATTCAAAATTCACAGTTCTAAGTCATAAAGAAATTCTAGTCATAAATTCACAGTTCTAGTCATAAAGAACTAAAAAAGTAAAAGTACAAGCATTTAATAAAAAATTATCATCTACTACTTTTTATGCTAATCGAGGGCTAATAAAAAGTAGTCTTTAAAGTGATCAAACAACTTTCAAATACAGCTCATATTTTTAGCAATAGGCCAGTATTTACCAGCCACGTGTTCAAATATAGGCCAGTAACTAGCAGCCACGTGTTCAAATTAGTGAAACAATCGTAAAATATATTGTGGAGTCAAGGGAATTCGAACATATATATATATAGTAAAAGATTTCGATGAAGCGGTGTCCCGTGACATCACTTGGGTCCATGTAAATCCGTTCCTACTTCCACCTAATTTCTTAACTAAGATCCGTAAGGGTGTATTCTAATGGTCAATGAGTTGGAAGGAAAACTATGAGGTCTTAAGTTTAACTTGTTTAGAGTAAATCAAAAAATATTAGGTGATTTCTTTTTATCTGTCTAATCTTTGGTGGATAGAGTTATGCGATGCCTATGCTAGTGAAGGTAGTCAATATCCAGACGCAGGAGACCCGTACACCACCATAAAAAAAAAATTAAAAACTTAGATAACCCTTTTAATAAATATACATATTTTAGAATATATTTTTTTCCTTCAATTTTTTATATACGTATAGTCCAAGTTCAAGATAGTGAATATTTTGTACTTGGCGCTATTACTACTGCAACTTTCCCTACTATATTGGTAGAGATGGGATTTGAGGCGGACGAATCGCCGCGAATGCTTTGGTGCACGTGGCATGTTATTATAGGCTCTGACAAAAAAGCAATCTCGGATTAAGGACAACATGGTGCCAGGTCAACCTAGGCCCTTGCCAATAATCTCTTCTGGATTTACTCGAATCCTGATAATATTGTTTATTTTTTCCTTCTAAAATTGGTACAATTAATCCAACTATAAATAAATGTTATACTTTTGTAGTTCTTGACTTCTTGTTTCGCGATTTGATCGTCTACTCATGATATTTACTGAAATATAGATTAGCATAGGCGGCTGCGACTTGCCACTCGGCTTAACTTTAATTTAATTATAAGTGGCTTAATGATGACAGCTAATCAATTTTAAAATAGTGTCCCAAGTTGTTCCCTAATTAATTATGCCCACAGGTTTCTTAAAACTGGAACTTTCTCTCTACAATATTGATGCTTCTTACTTCCTTTAATTTATTAGAAAAAAAAAACATGTTTGAACCTACTGTCTTATCAAAAAATATACTTGTTTCAATTTATGTGAACATATTTCGTTTTTTAGTTCGTGTCAAAAAGAATGATCATTTTCCTTATTTAGAAATAATTTACCTTTATGCAATGATTTATAGCCACACAAAATATATGTGCCTCATTTTACGAAACAAGTTCAAAAATCTTATTTATTTTCTTAAATTCCGTGCCAACTCAAATAAATTCACATAAATTATCAAAATGATCAATTTGTGAGTTTTGTTTTCTTCTTTTAATGTTCAAAAGTTGCGTATCATCAGACTATACATAAAGTTTGTTTGGTTCTATTTGGATGACACGATGGTTTCATTAAAAGCAGGGGCGACTCTAAAGGCGTTGGCCAGTGAGACCATTGCCTTAGCAGAAAATGTGAAGGTCCCAAATTTATTTTAAACTTTTATTGTTATTATTACTATCATATACTATAATTTATATAAATAATTATTATAAAAAAAGTATTACAATAATTTTTTTTATTATTTGAGTGAGGTTATTTTATACCAATAAGTTCATAAATTAGGATAATTTTCTCACTCATTAATTAGTATATTTGCTTCACTCTTCAATTTTAATTTTATCCTTTTTATATATTAAGTTACATATATCGACAACATAATGAATTTCTTTTACAATCTTCTATGAAATTGCATGAACACAAAAGTATTCATGCACCGATTTTATTTTAGTGTAATTCAACATAATATATTAGGTTATTTATAATTTATTTTAGATATTCACCAATAAGTACTACGAATTAATAGAATGAACTATAATTATCGATTAAATCGATCAGAAGGAGTAAATATTTTTGACACCATTAATGCTCAAAACTTAATTAAGCTATTATGTTATGTACGTTTATTTCTTTTTCTTGATTGTGATCATAGTCAAATCAAAATTTTCACTTTGAGTTCTGAATCTCAAAGTTCGATAATCCACCACTTTATTCTTTGTGCTCTTCTTCCTAATTTTTTTTTTTAAATTCACTATTTTTTGTCTTAAATGATTAATTTGTTATTTAGAAGCAAATTTTGTTGTTAGTGTAAAATTTTTATAGAATAAATTTAATGGTCTTTCAATATGGTTTCGCCTTAGGTCACAATATCCGTTGAACCGCCCCGCATAAAAAAGAAGCCAAAAGGAGGAAAAACAAGGTTCCATTTTCCAAATAATTATCCAAAGGCATCGTCCCAGTTAAATATCTATGAATAACCTACCACTTCCTAGCTTTGGTTATATCTTTTTATCAATTTTCTTTCACTTTTTTGTCACTTTTACATCTTCTTATTAGCTTAAGCTTAATCAGATAAGGGTTATCCAACTTTTGGCCTTTTTTCAATTTCAACTTTTCGCCTGCTTGATGTATGCGAGTCATTACTGATTAATCTCTTTATATATATANAAAATACTATTAATTGGTAGACTAATAAAAATAATTACTTAACTAACTATTCGAAAACCAGCTTCAAGGCAAAATACATAAACAAACACTCTAAAAATAATTACTTAACTAACTATTCTTACACTAATAAGAAAATACATACGCAAACATTCGAACTATATCTCTCACCATTTTACATGTGATCTTATTCGAGATTCCAAGAGCAAAATAGGAATATTCTAATTTCTACGTACCACTGCACTATACTAGAAAATTTAACATCGTCATCAAATAACTTTAATCGCCGTAGAATATAATCCCGGCGGCGGCGGCGGCGGCAAGCTTTCCAGCAAATCGAAAGTGAGCATAGAATAAGCTCTTGGTCTTGCTACTAACCGTCGTAAATTGTTCACCGCCGGAAAAACTGGCTCCGGCTTCATCTCCGGCGTGCCGACATACTTAGCTTGCATGTACTTATGCTTCCTCCACGGAGCCATGTGCATCTTCTTTTCCTTCATACACTTCTTAGATGCACAACATAATATTTTTATTAGATTCCTAAGCCTCTCAATTTTTCCTACGTATACTTCTGGCAATTGTTTCACTAGACCATTGTACTCTTCGTTAGCTCGTGCCATCTCGAATTCTCCTCTGAAATTCAATTCTATGATCACCTTCATTATTTCTCCCTTTTTTGAAATTGGATTCTGCACCACTTCCATATATGTGTGTTCACCTTTAAGCCCAAAAAGAGAAATATAATAGTTCAGTATTTTTCATTTTTTCCTTCTTTCTATTTTTTTTAATTTAAAAAAAAAAAAAATTAACGACAAATTTTTCTGTTTACTGTACAATTTATTCGTCGTTAGTTCTTGTATTCTTAGTAGTTTAGAGAAATGTGAAGTGTTTGAGACGGCATACCTGAAGGCATTTCGCGCGAGCTTTTCCACTTAGACTTGCAAATGAAGCAATTATAACCTGCGTTTCTAAGGCGTTCGGAGATTTCATTTTGTGTACATTTCCTACAACTATCTGCTACCATTTTCTTGCAGTTGCAATTGATGCCTGTTGATTTCAATTCTTTTAGAGCCTCCTTTGTAGCTTTTCTGACTAATGATTCAAAAGAAGTTGTCCTACACAGTGTTGTCTAAAAACAAAAACAAACAAATATTAAAAAAAAGATTTATATAGTAAAAAGAAAAAGTTGCCCGTAAGGGTTGGCTAAGTTGAGATGAGTAGTATCCACATGGGAGACCTATGATCGATTTCCCTCACCAGCAGTCACCTCAGTCAAAGCTCGTCAAATTGAACTTGCGTAGTACGGCTTATATCTCAAGTGTAGTTTGCGAGCTGTGTATTCACGCGAAAGGCAGCGGCAAGGGTTTTTCTAGATATTCAAAAAAAAGAAAAAATGTAGTCAAATTAAATAAGGATCTTACGTGAAGAAGCTCCCTTTGTGATTCCCAAAACGCCTTGTTCTCCTCACTATTGTTTACATTTTCATCGTCCTCCGCATGCATTATCTCTCCACTACTATAGCTAATGCTCGAATCCAACGAACATTCCGACGAGTAAAACTCGAGGCCTTCGTCTAAGAACCCAAATATCAATTCACATATGCCTTCGGGTTCATCGGATTTCTTGACAAAGTCACCTAATTCCCGGCCGTTCAACGGGACTTTAGACGATTTTCCGGCCATGTGCTTACAACTATACCTTTTTAAGACTAATTTTTCCACTCAACTAGGCTTTCGCCCTATGATTTTTTGTGGCAACGAGTTGTTTGTTCTTATAAAGTGCAGCATTAGGACCCACAGGAACCCACTTGATCCAGGTGGACTAACTGTATTCTGCGGATATGACTGTCGATTTTCGCTTAGTTTTTGGCAGGTATATGTATACAGTCGAAATCGAGTTCGCCTGCAACTTGGTAGATTAGGCTTGAAACGTGGTAACCAAGGATTGATGATCGACCTCGAGTCCCACCGAGCTAGAACCCGAGGTCAGAACGCCTGTCTTCGAAGAGCAGTGAGTCCGGTGTCGACCTTGGCCTCGAACGAGCTCGGAGGAATATTGTTGAGATAACTAACAGAAAACCGAAATATCCGTGACCGGTCGGATATTGCGGCGGAAATCTCGGCACGTATCAGTAAGGAACCGGCAATTAGCGAATCAAGAATTTTTTACCTTTTATAGAAATGTACCTAGAGTAGGGCTACTCTACTACAAAAAAGGGGTAGGATAATTCATTTCACACATTGTAACACGCATCCCAAAGCAATATATTATTATTCTCTTTAAGTTCTTATTATTATCTCGTTGTTCTCATATCAATAAAAATACTTTTGGCTCGAGGGTGGCTAACCTTCCCAGGCTAAAACTGTTCAACTTGTGTGGTCAGCATTTACTTTTCCATTACTTATTTCAATTGCAATTTGATTTGTCGTTTTGTATCAAGTTAGATCACGTATCCTTAAAACCACTTACAAATTCAATTGTTATCTGATTTTTAGGGTAAACAGTTTGGCGCCCACCGTGGGGCTAAGGATAATAGTGGTTATTTAATACAAATCTCCATAACACACTACTTTACACTTGTTCTTCGAAGTGTCTAATTTCAGGTTAAAACACAAAATGTCGAACTCCCAATCAGTACCTCTACATGTTGACAATGAATCCGGCCATCACGGTGAAAATAACAACATAGCGCCCGGTGACGAGGTACCGCCTATTGATCCCATCGGAATTCCGACCGCAGGTCCAATTGACGCTAATTCACATGCGGCTATCACCGCAAACTTTCCTAGCGACCCCGAGAACAACGTCTGTGGTGGAGCCCGATCGGCAACTCAAAGCACTCAAAACATTGGAAGAGATGGAATCAGTTTACGGGTGATCTTCACAATGCTGCAGGCTCAACATGCGGTGATAGCTCAGTTACAGAACCAAAGTCGTGCACCGAGCAGGTTCGAACCCGATCCACCCCGGGAAGTCACCCGCAGGGATGAACCAGTCGCAGAAAGATCAACACGTCATTAACATACAGACCGAGCAAGAAGAACCTCAACACATAATTAACATGATCATCGGTGGGGTCGATGTCCCTTAGGGGCCGATGATGAAGCACACCAAAGTATTCATTACAAGGGAAAAATGGACTCGATATTACATGCCGGAAGGGACCTTGTCTTTCAACGACGAGGACGCGAAAGGAATCATACAACCCCACAATGATGCACTAGTAATATTTGTACTCGTAAATAAAATTCGAGTCAAGCATGTGTTAATTAATCTAGGTAGTTTGGCCAACATTATCCAATCGAGGGTCGTGGAGCAGCTCGGTCTACAAGACCAAATCGTGCCGGCAGTCCGAGTTCTAAACGGATTCAACATGGCATGTGAAATCACTAAGGGTGAGATAACGTTACCGGTGAATACCACCGGAACCATACAGGAAGCTAAGTTTTATGTGATCGAAGGAGACATGAGGTACAATGCTTTGCTGGGAAGGCCATGGATCCACAACGTGAGGGAAGTACCCTCAACTTTGCACTAAGTGTTAAAATTCCCAACACTAGGCGGAACTAAAATAATTTACAGAGAATAGCCAGCCACAAAGGAAATGTTTGCGGTCGATTTGGTGATTCCAATATCCGCATTTGTAACGACAAATGGGCCGAGTTCGGTCACAAAACCAGAAACAATAGAAATTACCGACATCAGCTCCGACCCAATGCATCCCCGTGATCCTGTAATGAAGACAGTACTCGAAGAATTTCTTCGGAGAGGGCCCCCTCACATCAGGTTTTCGAGAAAGAAGAAATAAGAATTTCTTTTAACTTCCTATTGGCCCTCTTCTCTGTTCTAGGTCCTTTTCTCACTGAGGACCATGGGCCAATAACTTCAGATACAAAGCATAAGTTTCCAAGACGAGCAAGGCGCCCCTAGCCTTCCAACGAGAAAGACTTCAACAAAAAAGTAATTTTTTGTTCTTCCTGTTCCCGCGGCAGACATATGTTCGGTTGAAGCTGGATTTAGAAAGGATCACCAGCGGTGCATAAATGATATTTTAAGGACAAGAAATATTAGACTAGACTATTCCTTATGTAGATGTAGTGGATAAGCTCTCCGTGTTAGGATAGGCATTCAGATTTCCACAGCTATTCTAAGAGCGTGCTGAATCCAATTGTTGTGCGTTCCCCCTTTGGCTAAACCACCACTTCAGGTCTCGTTCGATGATACCCCAGGTCTCGCTGTTTCTATTTTCTAGGTCACGCATTAACCTCGTTAGAAAGTGGAGTTCGCTAGCTGCCCGTCATTTCTCAAGGTCAGAAATCTCAAATTTAGAATTTAAGCATGAAGTCATCGTTCCATCATCCAACATGCTTCTATATAAGTGATTTCATACCTTACTACTCTCCTCCGTCACCCTTCTATGCTCCTTTGCCCTATGCCTTTAGTCTGCTTTGAATGATCCTTTCACTCTTCGAAGGTGAGAGAAGTACTTCGAGGGATTATATGGAAGGAACCTCTACTGCTGTTCAGCTTCCTGATGGGAATCCCGAGATTCCTCACCGTTTTTAGGGGTATAACATTTGTGTAGTCGGGTAGGATAACTAGAATCTATCTTTACTTTAGTGTGTAATCAATTTATATATGTTAAGCTCCCCTTTTTTTCTATCCTTCGCTTTTCTTTTGCCTCATATTCATAGGATATGACACCAAACGAAAAGGCATATTGGCACGTTCATGATGCATCATAATCAAAAGGCACAATATAGTGCTGAAATAAGTGAAAAAAGCTCTAGGAACTTGCTTCAGTCCATAAAGAGCTTTGTGAAGTCGGCAAACAGGTACAGGTTCATAAGCAGTGACAATTGCCCTATGACGCATCCAAAAAGTCACAAAAGGCTTCTTGGGAGTGTAGGGGTAGGCTGCGATGGATATAGTGAAATCAATCCTTATTCCGTACTCCCTCTCACCGGCCTCTAACGAAAAAGCCTATTCCTATTCTAGAAATCCTGCAAACTATTACTCGAAGTACTTAGCACTCACCGCGAAAATTGGCAGAAATAGGCCAAGTAGCGACACTTCACCCATATTCGATCATCACGTCAACTTGCTTTATTCAACCTTGTTAGTTGGGACAGAGCATCCTATCTTGTTGATTCTCCTTTCCCACCGCCTCGAGCTCTCGCTTTTAGAAATCTGTTAAGATCCGCCCATGATTCATGGAATCAATTCAGCTTGGGCTTTTTAACTGAATAATTATTTAAATTCTCCATAAGAGTTGCAACTCTTTCAAATCCATAGCCATCTCAAGTCAAGTATGAGGTCTTGGTACTCTGCGAGATTATTGGAACAAGGTTTCAACAAAGTGAAGGAGTGCGGCAACAGTTCTCCTACAAAAGTAATAAAGAGGACTCCAGCTCCATCTTGATGAGCAACACCATCAAAGTACCACTTCCATGGTGGAGGAATTTCAACCACAAGAACATCTTCATCAAGTTGTCAAACAATTCTCATTCAACAGGTATTGAGTCAAAGAACTAGGAAATTTTTCTCTTTCTTATTTTGCTTTTTGTGGGGGACTATACCATAGTGACTTGGCTTTGGGGTGGGTTCTCCGTGCACAATGCCACCTTAAATTATTTTTCTAGTCTTCATCATTTACTCCCCTTTATTTTAGTAGGCGCCGGTCTTCTTCTTCTGGCCGCATTACATCAATATGGATCCAATAATCCATTGGGCGGCGGGGACGAGACGACGTGACATACTATGATCACATACAAAAGTGTTGTCCTTTGTCTCGGCAATATGGAACCTCTCAACAACTCCAATTCTTTTATGTGGTCCTAGTGGGATAGGTAGGACCAAGCCTTTCCCCTCCCCCTCCCCCCATAAGACCCTATTTATCTTTCCCTCTCGGGAAAGAAAATAAGAAAGGATAATGTGAACGTTGAGTCGGGGTTTGGTGAACCAACTGGTCGCTCCTCTAGTTGAAGTATCGGCCCCTTTTCGTTACCTAGGTTACACCTTCGGAATACCCCATAAGGGAATTTTTTTTCTACTCCCCCAAATCTTCACTTTACGCTACACCGACTCCCCTTTCGTCATAAGGCGTGGAATTAGACCAAGGGGAATCTCTATAGGAACTAGTGATAGGAAGAGAATACTGTTGGGGAAAATCCCTATTCATGAAAGCCCCTTGTAAAGGGGAAAACGAAAGTGTGGCTTGGCTAGAGAAAGGTTCTGTGACATGGACGCCCAGCCCAACTCGGTCGGTCGGTTAGCCCACCTAACAGATGATGAGATTCTCGATCGATTTGATCAAATTTCAAAAAGTCTTTCTCATTATTCAGAACAGTGGAGCTTTTGATCAAGATCTTCTCACCTCACCCATTTGTGCTTTCGCTCGAACCGGAACCTTTATGCGTTGGTAGGCTTTAGACTCAAACCTGATATTTGAGAGGAGATGTCTTTGGGAGCTAATAAAGAAAGTGAGTAATTATTCTTAGCTAGCGTGAGTTGAGATAAAAAGTGTCTAATTATTCTTAGCTAGCGTGGGTTGAGATAGAAAGTGTCTAATTATTCTTAGCTTGCGTGGGTTGAGCTGCTAAAGAAAGTGTCTAACCTGATAGCTAGCGTTTGAGGCCTTTTATCTCATCCATGGTTGGTCACGGTGAAGGATATTGAGATAGATTCTTCCTTCTCTGTGCGTGGGATAGCCCTTGATCGAATAATTATTCTTATTCAAAAGTCAAAAAGC